TTATTTTTCTCGACAATGAGCGTTACATTTCTTTTTAACGTTAAAATCTAATCGTGAAAAAACGAAAAGAGCAAAAAAGTTCATCGAGACTGAAAATATTAAAAGAAGATTATATAAATATCGATAAATATTCTTTTTATACGTCTGAATAATGATCAAATTATCATTTAACACGAAACATTTTTCCATTTAAATCTTTCTTCCTTATTTATTAAAAATTATGATCAATTTTCCACGAAACAACTTTCTTACACATTTTCTCCATTATTTAAGAAGAGATGCTATGCGTATTCCACGAATACAGAAACACACACGGGAATGCATTTATTAATACGAAACTTAATTTAATCCGTACGTACGTTGAGCGCAATGCAAAAGACATCTGGTATCCGGTAAATCATTGGCTACGAGTGACTGTTGCAATTTCCGATTCAACGTCGAATCCCATTCTCGGCCCGGTGTGTCAATGTTCCGTGTAAGCGAGAGGTAAGATATCCCCGTACGCTCCATCTTGAATGGAAAATATTGCCGGATCAATAATAGAGATCCGTGGCGGACGGGGACCGACTTCGGATTCATTGTCACTTGGTGTCCATCGGTCACGACTTTCGTTACGCGAAAAGATTTCGAGCATCGATAACCAGCATTATCCATTATTCCAATGGATATGGAATACCAATCTATTCCATATAAGAAAGGAAGAGAATAATAGAAAATAAAAAGGAAATAAATAGACGAAGGAACTTGAGTGAAACTTTCATTGACTCGATCACTTTCAAACACTCGTGATTCGATGGATGAGAGAGAATCTGGTCGGTGGATCGTTTTGTGGATGAAAAGGGAAAATCGGCGCGAGAGATGATACATCCAGCACGGTCTCTCCTCTTTTCAGATAAGGGGCCAGATTTATAACGGCCACGGAATAACGAATTTTACCGTGGCAAAGATTTGCAGCGATTCGCCGATAAGATTAGCGATTGATAAACGGCTAGGGTACGCGCGTTGTCCGCAACACCAGACGAGTTTTTGGGCTCGCTTCGTGTCGATCCAGATATACAAAATTGGAAAATTGTCGACTCGGATGCATTCACGCCATCTCTGCGCGATCATTTATTATTTCGGATCCGTGCATCCTTAAACAGAATCCTTTGCTGTTTGAAAAACGAATATATTCTCCGTATAAATAATCCGTAAATTAATCGGACGAATAGATTGTTACGCGCTCTCTCGTAAGCTTGTGTTTGTCCAACAGTAACAAGTTTTTCTCGTTGAAATTCTATATTTGTTTTTTTCTTTTTTTTTTTTTCTAATTTCCATTTCATCGAAATCCATATGTATTTTTTTTTTTATCTTATATTCGTTTCTCCGTGGCGTTTTACGTAAAATTAAATATTACGAGTTAGAAGGATAATATAAGATAATGTTGAATGTTATTTAATTTTAAGATAATTCACTGCGCTGTAAATCGAATGCGAAATTTCATCATGTTTGAAGATTGAAAAAAAATAGAGAAAGATACTCACGTTCTACATGTGTGCTGGGTAGATATAAATATAAGCATAACCAGAGAGGGAGAGAGAGAGAGAGAGAGAGAGAGAGGAGAGAGATGAATCGGTGAGATGCGACATGTTCGGTCGGCACGGTTTCCACTGGCGTTAATTTGTCGAAAAGCTGGGGAACATGGAGCGCAGCATACCTTAAGCACTGTGATGCATATTGTAGCAGATCGGTGTTAACGGGGCGCGCGCCATCGTTGTTTAAATTGTTACATCCGCGGTGCTGTGTGCATGAATCAGCAATGCGAAACAGTAAATATTTCTCGGTATAAATTGTCGAAGTTCGTTGATTGCACTTCATCGTTCGATCGTTAATCACGGGCGCTTTTCGGATTTCTCTCGAAACTGAAATGTCGAACTTACCACCAACTTCTGACGAGTGATCGCGTGAAAAATATATTGGAAGAGAATTTTCTGAAAAAGATGGAAAAAGTTTTAAATTTACGCAATAATACAAAGATGCATTTGCAAAATTATAAGGACGGGAGGTTGCAAATGATGGGAGGAACGTGCGTTATTGAAATAATACGGAATCGATGTGCGTGTATGTAGATGAATTAAATAAGGGAGTAACGAGGCATTGAAATTTTAAAAATAGAAATAAATGAGATATTATAGTTCTAAGAAGAGATTACGATGAAGAAGGAAAATTGAAAATGATGTATTACGGAATAAATGAGGTACTCAAATAGAATTTACGAAGCTTCAATGTCTCGTTAGTTCTCCCTCGGTAGTGTTGTAATATTGCATAAAGGACTCGAGTACTCCATCAGTATGAATATGTATAATAATTCGTGTATAACGATGACGATTTATATTCTCGAATATAAAAGAATGCCAAAAGCGAGAATTGACAAAAGGAATTGCTTCTAAAAATTACAAAACTTTTTATATATTAATATTAAAAATTTAACACGAGAAGTACTATTTTATGTTTCTACTTACTTCGAGTGGAGTGCTATAGTTTCTATAGTTTTTAAAGTAAAGGTAATACAACCCTTAGTCGTGTTCTGACACTCGATGGTCAGTCGAATGGTATATCTGAAACTAATTGCTATTTTAGTTCTTATTAAAAATCGGTAAAGAAGAAGGAAGAAACGTACGTTTCTTATTGTCTATATATATATATATATAAAACTTGAATCAAAATTGAAATTTTATCATATTAGTTACACAAAGTTTAATATCCGATATACTTTAATTGATCGAAATTGGAGAAATATAAACAACTTCGTGAGGAAAATTGTGAGGATTAAATTGATTAATGATTATAATGCACGTGAGTACGCGAGAAATCTGTTTTATCATTAACGATACGACATGAAGTACATGTATTCGTTTTCACGATAATTGCATTGTGAAACGATGACTGGCTATTTATATTAATTTTGATTACAAAGGATTTCTAAATGAATATTAATACGGGCGATAAAAGTAAATGAGCAATGAACACGATAATTTTGGATTCGCGATTAAACGTATATCGTGAATGTTGCACGACAATTTGAGAATTATTTTGATTCGACGATCAATCACGTTATTTAATACGTTAAATAATTATTTTCGAATGACATTCTCTTTTTTTTTTTTTTTTTGGTTTAAAAGTATTCTAAAATTTTTGAATGGAATTAAAGATCTAAAATTCTAAAAATGTTCGAAGAAACTATGTAAAATCGAATTATGTAAAATGTCACGTGTGTAATACGAAATAAATTAGATTTTTTTATACTTCTTTTATATAATATTCCATACGTATATTTATAAAATAAAAAACGAAAGTATTTTTCGTCGAATATTTAAAAATTGAGTGTTTTTTTACCGCAAAACTTTTATCAATATTTTTTTTATTCTCTCTTTACGAAGTTAGTTCATTAAAAAAAAAAAAAAAAAAAAAANAAAAAAAAAAAAAAAAAAAAAAAAAAGAAAAAATAAATTCTGCGTGATTTCCATTCGATCGTAGTACAATTGATTCAATTTATACCGTGTGAAATACAACAGAAAGCATGAATGGAAAAAAAAAATGAAATACGTAGGTGCGTGTAAACGCTGCATTTGCACAGCGAAATCAGTTTACAATGTTTCATCAAGCGAATAAACGAACTCGATTGCAGCTATCAATTGCACTTCAATAAAGCGAAACAGAAATAACATGTCGCAAAGATTAACGCAATTTCCAGCAGGAATATCATTATACCTTCTTCAAATTAAATGTAAATACAAATATGATTATTTTCTAAACTGTAAAATCCATTTTCACGTGCGATACGTAAAAATACAATTTTCCTGTTAATTATTTGTTTCAACGGTAGGTTTTTCCACGTTAAGAATGTTCATTTCGTCGAAATAAAATTTAGATTGTTCGTTTAAAATCGTAAAATGGAATGGAACAGCGTATAATTCGATCATCACGATACATTTTATCACTACTATCTTTATGAAGAAATATATCCTGATTCAGAGTATACTTCGTGGCATTTTGTTAACCTCTTGACGACAGGTCAGTCGAGTATTCAATTTCCGGCAGCGTTCTCGTGGATGAACTTTAAAGATATGCAGATCACATCATTGCTGTTGTAAAAAAAAAGAAAAAAGAAGAAAAAATAAAAATAAAAATATGCAAACTTTATGAACTCATTTACCGGGAAAGAATTTCACACATAAAGTGTAAAAAAGATTTTTATCCCCTGAAAGGAAAATTAGATCTAACTTTATGTGTTACAAAAATATTAGATTCCAGGCAGATAAATGTAAAAGAGATTACTTTTTACCGTATCCCACAACGACATATTTGTTCTAACAATTCGAACAATTCGAGAAATAAAAAATAAAAAATAAAAATTAACCACACTCGTACACTCGACAACATACACAATATATACAATTGTCAGTGTAATTTAAATTCCGCGATAAAAGCGTACACGTATTTGTACTTACTTGTACTAATTTTATTTTTTAACACATTTTTCAAATTTTCAAACGTGTTATTAATATCAATACAATAACTGCTAACGAAATATTAAAATATCGTTTCGACTTATTATAGAATAAGAAAGTGTGCGAATACAAAGTCATCATTTTAATGTCATTCGTTAATGTTAATCGGTGTCGTTGAGAAAGGCCAGGTTGTAACAAAGTAACATTGTCTCTCCTTCCACGTGGTCTCCCGCTGCATCTCATAGAACAGCACGAACAGCACACACGATAATCGCGTACCGCAAACGCAACAAGCGTTGCGGTTGCGAAATACAACACGGTGCGTGACAAAATCGTGGCGTATCGGTCGCGTAGGGCGCGTACAATTAGGGTGTAATTACACTTACGCAATATCCTCTCGGTTTAATTAGTCCGTGATATCGTGCCGCATATACTTCGTACCGCTCCGTTCACGATGATTCACGATGATCCTGCGAAATCCATCGGATGATCGGTCAACATCGATCGCGATTATTCTTGGATGGATTGTATGAACATGAAGTAGGAGAAACCGATTCGTATCATCTTTAATTAAAATAAAATATTGTTTTTCGATAAAAATTGAAATTTTTCAATAACGATTGTTGATCCTACGATTGAGGAATCATTTATCGAAAAGAGAACCTCGAAAAGAGAGAAGAAGATTCGATCCGAGTATTTATAGTTAATATTTTTCCTTGTAATATTGAAATTATATTATTCGATTAATGGAGGCTCTTTTTCCGTGAAGCTCCTCAATTTTTCAAATTTCATATAATCAAATTTAATCAAATTTATTATAATCAATATTCAATATTATTATAATCAATAATCAAATTTATTATAAAAAGCGACTCACCGACACGTACGTTTGGTCGATCACGATTATGAAATTTTTAAATCGGAATTTATAGGGTGTCATGAATCTGTGCATAAGGAATAACAGCAGTTTCTGAGTTTTGGCCGAGGTTGAGTACCAGTGTCCGCAATAGCTAAACGATAAATTCATAAGGAAATAGAAATATATCTTATCAAGTGAATATTTGTTTTAAAAACTTACGCCTTGAAGAACAAAGTTTCACTGATCTCGTATACTTTTTGATAGGGTAATATTAGCATGTATATGGTAAAGAAATATAAACTCACGAAAAAACAATACATAAACACTATTTGTAGATTGTGTGACGATAACTCGTTTCTCAACTAAAGACATTGAATAAATTATAAGATGAACGAGTTAAAATTAAGGAAAATGTGTATAAAGTATATTTAGAAATTATAGTTACTTTCAAGAGTAAGGCAGAGACAATTAATGTTCCCCAAATTAGTTGAATAATCCCACATATAACCATACTAGAATTGTATTTTTCGCAAAATCTAAAATATATACGATTATAAGCGAATTAAGTTACATTTTTCTTTTCTACGATATATAAACAAAATAAACAAAAATAGATAAGAATCACCAACTTCAAATTTCTCTTATACAAATTCACGATATACACCAATCTTTTGTAGTAAATTAAATATTTGTCAATCTTTTGACAAGTAATTTCTGGTTCGTCGAATAAATGTATGGTTAAGTATCTAACGAGAGAAGAAAATTTCTAAATAATTTTCTAAATAATTGAAATGAAAAAATGAGTCTCAAAAAAAAAAAAAGCTTACCCAATCTTGTCGAATATTCCAATAATGTGCGTTAATATTATTGCGTGTAATACATCGGTACCAACTTCTATCGAAGAAATTAACAATATTGCTATATTTAAATGAATACAAATAGGATAAGAATATTTTTCACGGTCGATAAAATATTCGGTTAAAATTATTCGATTAAAATAATTCGTTCTGTTCGAAGATGCAATCTCGTAATCAACGATTTGGATCATCATCAATATAAAGACCAGAAAATAAAAGAATACTGAAATATAGATTACTGGATATCAGGAAATTTAAATATTTGTATAATGTAAAGAAAAAATTAATAAAAAATTTCACTTACGAAAGATAATCTGACAATAATACAAACATTTCTTATACGTTCGTTTTATTAAAATCTTTTCTGTTTCCGTCAATTTGCTCAAATCGATCCTTATATAATCAAAAAATTCCTTAAACTATAATGACAAAATAAGAAAGAAAATAGAATAATTGATAAAATAATTCACAAGAATTAAATCGTAAAAATATCACACACGTATTTCCTATTATTTCGGCTATTCCAAACTACAAACGCACCTCTTCGATCTTAACCCAAATATTAACATATTTTATTAATATTAATGAAACGATCAATATATTTGTAATTATCTGGTACAGCAGAGCGTAATTGATCTCATCGGTGAACAATGTGAAAATCTAGAAACATATCCAGACACTCGTTATTTCAATAATTTAATACTTAATGCATCGATCAATTCGAATAAACGGATCGTCTCATTTAAGGAATAAAAATAAAAATATTCTCTCTTTTAATAATACCAAATCCATTTAACCACAACTACGATGTACAATCAACACAACAATTTAACACTTATAATAATTGAAAGAAAAAAGAAAGAAAGATATTCAAAATCGTACCTGAACGAGTAAAAAAGAAATTATGCACATAACGTACACGATTCTTTGCATCTCGTTCGCTTTTGAATATTCGTAAGGCCATACGCCAACGAGGAGCAGAAACAAGCGATAACTCTTGACGACGTTCGTCTCGTAGAAATCCATCACTGTTCTAAAGCCGAAACACGACTGCGATCGGTCGTGCGCCGTGTCTCGAAGATATAGTAAATATTTTGCCTCGAATTTAGCCTGATCCCGAGAGAACGACGATTATAATCGAGGTTCATAAGATAAATACCGGTTGCGCGATACACACGTAGTAACACCTTCGTGAAATTTCTTCGTTATTTTTCCCCGACCGGGCAATATACGACGGGTTATTATACTTTTAGCACGAACACCAGTTGCAGGAGATTGGTACACGTGTTGGTTATTTTGTTCCAAGGTGGCGAGAAATTTTTATGAAAACACCTTTGGTATAACTTATCATAATTTTATAATATTCTTCTTCCCCTCGCGTGCGTGCGTGTTGAACCTCCCTTGTCAAATCGATTCCTACCCCCTCCCCTCCTGTGTGAAGCAATTATGTTTCTCTGTGTTTAGTTGTCACACTTGTTTGACAGGTACTGTGATGTGGATTTTTCTTTTTTTTTTTTTTTTTTTGAAATAGTTATCGCGATGATACTCTTTTTTTTTTTTAAGGATGAGGGATAACGTGATTTTTTTACATGGAGAACATTCGTGTTTTCTTAATGTAAAGATCTTGAACTCAGAATTAAATTTATATTATTATAAAAATGCAATTAATTTTCGAATATATGGCTCATTCCAATTTGAAATTAAATTAACGATAAAGTAAAGTAATAACGCGAAGAATCAATTGGTGGTGTATTTATTATGAAATGTAAGGTATGACAATTCCGTTTTCAATTTTATCACTGTTATTACTTATTTTCCAATGTTTTTTCAAAAAAGAAAAAGAAAAAAAAAATATACATTTATTTCGACATATAACACATACACGTACATTAACATATACATGTAATTACAGTATATCGTATCTTTATGATATTTTTAATTACTCATGAAAATGATATTTTATTTAAATGTAATAAATATATGCTCGTTATTTATGATTACACGAATGTGTTATAAGTTACGAAATGTAATATCATATTGTTTTCAACAATTTTTTATAATGCATAAGTGTAAATATTTGACAAATGGTTGAAATTTTATTGATGCAACATTTTATTTATTCATTCTTCATTGATCGCGATAATCGTCTATTAAAAGTCAATCAAATCTTTTGAACAATACTATGACAATCAGAAAAACATGGTGCCAACTTATATCGTTCATTCTTGCAACGATATCAACAGAATGAAACAAGAGAAGGAGAATTGCATCATCTTAAAATCAAACAATTATTAGGAAACCTGCTTTTAAATAATTTATGGAACAAGTATCATACAAAAATAAAAAGAAGACACTTTTCATATATGATTATAAATTTTACAAACAAGCAATTTTACAATTTTACAAAGTTCTTTTAAGTTCAAACCCTTATCTGATCACAAACCTATCGAAACATTATATCTAATACGTAATCTTATTTATAAATTCATCTTCTACATTGAAACACTTGCATCAAAGATCTCGTGGAATAGTTTCGAATCGAATCGTACGATGAGTGAAAGTTCGAAACAATTCCAAGTGATCTATCGAAGAAAAGAACTCTTTAGAAGAATCATTGAAACCTATATATTCCTTTTAAGAGTCTTCTTTTTATCTCAGTATGTAGAATCATAGTTACATTAAATCATGATGAGTGTATGTACCTTACTCATCGATTCAAATGTTATAAAAAATATTTCTGAAATTCCTAAATAATAAGGTTTCAAAGTATTTTGTAATACGAATTTGAACATCTTTTGTATGTAAACGGGTGTCTCGTACCAGCACGTGTTGTATCTAGTTGAGGAAAACTTGTCAGATAATCGATATAATTTCAAATTGGGATATTAATAATATCAAAAATTTACTTACGCACTATTTAACAAAAACTCAGAATGTTTCGTCAATTTAGTAGCTGGATAAAAACACAGAAACACGAATACGTAGTTCTGAATAATATCTATCAATATGATTATAAGCTTTCTAATGTGATTGGTTTTTATATATTCGTATACCTTCAAAGAAATTATACATCAATATGTCTATCGTAAAAATTTCAATCAAACCTTTACGTACTACCTTCTATATTTACCTTGTAAAATTTCAAAGTGAATATAATTGTTACTATTAAATATTGTAGAATAATAGATATGGAATAATATGAATCCAGAAGATTAGCATACCTTATAGAAATATTATAATATAAGATATAGTGTTAAAAAAAAAAAAAAAAAATAATAATTTGAATTGAAAAAAGCAAATATATAGCACATACTCGATGCATTTCCAATGATATCTAACTATGTCCACGATTCGGTTTTGAAGTAAGTATTTTCTATATGCGACGTTCATTTTTCGGATATCATCGAAAAGATGTTTAAATCTGTAACTAGATATAATACAATATGTTATATATATTTCATCGTGATCTTATCCTACTTTTTTACCTGGTAATATCAAATATTGCACAGACATGGTACGTGGTAGTTATATAGATCGAATCAGTAGATATCAAGATAATCAAACTAAATATGATGACGATGTCGACAAATATCATGAAAATATAATAATCTATTTCGTTTAGAACGTTTACAACATTTATAAAATACACAGAATAATCTATTATGGTATTTATTATGATAATTGAACTATAGACAATCCAAGTTGTCCCTATTATTCAAAATATTGTGAATAAAAATATTATATATTTAGAAATTAAATAATATATTGTAATAATAATTACAACATAAAAATGACTTACAAATTAAATATTTTTCGTATAAATAACTATTACGACTATATTTTTTTAATATATTTATGTCATTAATGCATTTCAACTCGGTCCAATCTCGTTCAATGTTTATAAATAATATTTTCATCTAAAAATGTATTCATTAAAAGATCAAAGAGAAGCAGAAATAATAAAAGATTTATAAATTTACCACATCATAATTGAAGATACATGTATAATAGTTAATTGATACTATAATATTTATTGTTAGAATAATTATGCATCCTAAAAGTTCATTAATATTATTTTTACAAAGTAACATTATCCGGACCTGTTAAAAATAAATTTACAATTAATAAAAAGATATGAAAATAAAATAAAAGTAGTATTTACTTAAATATTGTTATAAATATTTTATTTCTATTAAATAATAATTATGACATTTTAATTTGAACATTTTTCATATTAATGCATATTATCCCCATTGTGTATATTTTTGTATATTAAAATTTATCATAAATCTGTAAATAGTTTAATAATCAGTAATAATAATTAATTAATAATAATGAAATAATTGAAGCTAATATGATTAGAAAGCATAATTAATTCAATAATCATCAATCATGGAATAACTACTATTAATTATATTATAATTGAAATAATAATAATAACAATACATAATAATGTATAAAAGAAATATTTGTAGCTAAACTATTTTTTACTATTTTCCATAATTTTATTATAACAATTCTTCTCGCACAATAATCTTTTCGATACTTTTATTATTTCTTTAATAATTTTCATTCTATTTAAGTTAAATTATTTTAATAGAAATAAAAAAAAAATTAAATCAAATGAAGAATTTCGAATGAATTGAAAAAAGAAAATTACCTGATACACAATAATCAAAATAAACATCGCTTGAATAAACCATTTACGAATTGTTTGTTGTTTACTATTGTCGAACGGCCACAAACCAACTAACTTCGAGTAGAAGCGAACGTATCTATAATAATAATTATCCAACATGTTCGCAAAACAAGAATCAATGACCGTTTGATGAACGAAACAACGGCCATGAGGTGTATTGGCATCCTCCACACGTATTGCATAAATTATTCAACAACTTTGCACTTAGATAGATTTCTATAAAATCTTTACTTACCTTTTAATAATAATACGAATTCCAAGAAAGATGCCACGTTTACGTAATTATGGTCATTTAATTTTCACCCAAGGAAGATTATCTTTATTTTTCATCGAGGCTTAGACTGTCCATTTTCACACGTTTGATTGACAGGATATACGTGACACAACATAATACACGAAACGTAGTTGTGTTGGTACGAGCCAGGGTGCGTTTCCATAAGGGATGGTCGCAACAGTCGAGTTTTAGTTAGAATGGAAAGTCGTTCAAAGTGCAGCATCTATTGTAAAAATATTGCGTTATTTCTTGAAGAATTATAATCGAAGAATTGCAATCATCTTAAAATTTTAAGTGAAATTAAAATTGTAATTGTAACACATGAAGGGGGGGAATGTATATTTTTCTAAAATTCTGAACGTTCGTTCGCAGAAAAGAATTTATTTCCTTATAAATAATTGTCGCGAAACGAAACGTTTAAAAACAATAACCAGGGTGTGTATCGTTCAGGGATTACTGTTATAAAAATTGTAAAATCGATAGCGGAACAGAATACAAGAATTTCAATTGAACCATTTTTCAAACGATCCGCGCGATTACTTGTTTTTTAAGGGATCCGAAATATCGTGGTTATTGTTCAGCCAAACGACAACTTGGAATCAATCGTGTATTCACCACACGGGAGGAGGAGTTTTTTATGTGGATTATTTTTTTCGAGAACAATGGACGACGAATGTTCGCAACGTGCGCGTATCCTGGCTTCGGGAATGACTATGTTTCACGTGGCTTTTTGTGAATCGAGGACTCGTAATAATTCGCTGTCAGCACGGACGAGTAACCCTGTCTCCGTTTCGCGTTCCCATTGTTTTCATCCCGTCCAAATTTATTTAAACTTTCACCCTCGAATGTCCACTCTCTAATAAGTTGTTACGCAGTTGTTCCACTTACCGAACATTTCGAACATTTCGTGTTTTTCTATAATAATGTTACGTAGGAGAGGATAAAATCAACTAAAACATCATTTTTCTTTCTTTCGGCAAAACAATCGTTTCATACAAATATACTATTCTCTTTTAATTTAATTTTTAACAATTTCCTTTTTTTTTACAAATT